ATCCAGTATTGCAAATTTATTACAAAAATGCAAAAAAAAAGATTTCGCAATATTCAACGTACTAAATTGAAACTTTACAAACGCAAGAAACTACACAAATTAACAATGCTATACCAATTAAATCACAATGAATTCTGGAAAGAATTAAAAAAATACAAACGACCTGATTTAAAAATAGTTATTCCTATAAATGAATTAGAGCAACATTTTAAAAAGTTATTTAATAAAGAAGTTAGAAAACCAACAGAAAATTATTGTACTCGTTCAGAAAAAGTTTTGCAAACAAATTGAAAAAAGTAAAAATTCATCATAGATAACATTAGTAAATGAATCTCAATTTTACTGAAGAAATAAATAAATAAGGCTAACTAAAGGTTTAAAAAATAACAAAGCTCTTGGTTAGGCAGGTATGAGTAATGAAATGCTAAAATACTGCCTTTGTCCAAAATTAGTTCAAATAGTAAAAGAAGTTATTTGAGCAGTAATTAATGATAGAGCTATGTTAAATAACTTCAATGTTGGGAAAATTATTCTAACTATTAAAAATAATACAGGTAATACGCAGGATGTTTCTAATGCACGTCCATTAACAATTTCTGACAGCCTAGCCAATCTTTTTGAGTACATAATTATGGAACATATAGAAACAAATCAGTAAATACAGTCCCGTCATTGCAACTTAGTTTCAGATCTAACAGTTAACTAGTCATGCAATATTTGCACTTACAGATTTAATCAGACATAATAAATTTTTGAAACTGAATACTTATGTTGTTACAATTGGTGCCTCAAAAGCATTTGATAAAGTGAACCGAATAACTTTATTAATGGAGCTAATTAATAAATTAGATGATAAATTGTGGCTTGTGTTGTACAAATACTATCTGAATTCATTTGCGTTTGTAAGTATCGGTAGTAACAAATGTAACATTTTTGTAACAAATGTTGACGTTAAACAAAGTGGACCACTCTCGCCTCTTCTTTTTTCGATCTATACCGAAGGACTTATTAAACAAGTGAAAAATGCATCACTTGGTGTTTGTATTAACAACTTAAAGATTGGTATTTTAATATATGCTGATAATATTCTGGTAATTGCCTCGAATGTTGAAGAATTAAATCTATTGCTTAAAAATTGTGAAGATTATGGTAGAATTTACCAAATTCAATGGAATCCTCAAAAAACAGTTTATAAAGTTTGGTACAAAAGCAAAGAGAAATAAAAAAGAAACTATAACGTTTTGTAACACCGCAATTGAACAGGTAACCTCAATTGAATATCTTTGAGTGATTATTCGAAATGACCTAAGAAGTAGTAACCATTGTAAACAAAGACGAAACAAATTTCTATATGCAACTTATGCAGCACGAAACTGGGGTTTGGATATATTTACTGATCCATCACTTAAAACACATCTATTTAAATGTTTTTGCAGAACAATATTGTATCATGGCAATGACGTTTGTCATCTTAACAAGATTAACAAGAGTGAAATTCAACAATTTTAAACACTCAAATATGGCAAAAGGCATTATGGGTATCCGTAGAAAAACCAAAAGTGCGCATTGTTTGGCTGCACTAAAAATAGATCCCAATAGGATTAAAAATTGATATTGCCAAGTGTTTCTTGTTTGAACAAATAATGAAGAACAGAGTCACAAGTGAAATAATTCTTTCAATTTATAATGAGATGCATAACATTTCTGTCCATGGTACATATGATAACCTTGTAACGCAACTAATAGATATAAAAAAAAGATATAGTATCACGAATGCTCAATTCAATTCAATCAAACTCTATTATGGCCCTTACGAATCAGTAATGAGAAAAATTATTTTTTCTACATTCTTTAAAGAATTGATGGACCTTAAGAAAAGCCTGATAATCAAACGCATTCAATTATTTAACTTTGGAATTGCTGAAACGATTAGCTTTTTGCTTTTACAAAAGCATACTGGAATCCGGAAAAATGAAAACATTCTTAAACTATTAATTAAAGCGTATAATGATGTTCACTTACTTTTTACTTATAATCAATTTATTTATGCAATTTTGATACAATTACTGTAAATTATTCATCGCCCACGTTATATTCTGAAATAATAATAATAATAATAATAATATTAGATGATTAAAATATAAGTAAAAATTTTAAAATTTAAAAAAATTAATTATGCACTTAATTATTGATAGACAAAAGCTTAAAAATGAATAACTAGCGACAGGGTTTTTTCAGCAACCGTAAATAAATTTGAACTGAACTTTTGGATTGTGAATTACAACATACACTAAAAATTTTGGATTTGACCAAAAAAAGTCAAAGTATATGGATTTTAGTCATATTTGGAAGTTTTGGTGTTATTTGAGAACACAAAATCACTCACAAAAGTAGAACAAAATTAGCTGTAAACATAATTCAAGTAGAGGTTGCAAATACATGTGTTACAAACAAGTGTGCCAAATTTCAGGTCAAATCGGTCATCGGTTTGAAAAACATTTCCGTCGCCAGGCTATAAAACATGATTTTGAGAAAAACTCAATTTAAAAATAAAAACAAAAAATTAATGTTCAAAACTACCCACTTTCATAAACTGCACCTTCTAATGTTTCGTTTTGATCACAAAATCCTTTTTGTGTAGCTCTTAGTTTCTTGCGTCTTAACTTCACTTCACTTGTGCATTGTTTTTCTGCTTTAGAAATGCGCTTAGAGTCAAATATAAGACAAAAATTATGTAGATTGCAACCTACTGTTATTTCAAGCTTATTAAATAACGATTCTAAAAATTGTAGTCCATTATTAAAGTATAGGACAGCTGATGCAACTCCAACACATAAAGCAGTTCTTTCAACAAATATAACTTTGGGACACCGCTTCCAAATTATTTAATTCAAGGATTCATTAGGGCTTCGTTATTTACCATGCAAACACATTTTGAAAAGAATATCAATTCCTAGATCTTTAAATATTGGTTTTATAAAATCTCGAACAGCAGCAGGAATACAAAAATTTTCTTTGTATGTTTTTTTTCCAGTTACTTTATCAGCCTGGAATTTGCACCAAGAACCCTTGGTGCGCAAACAAAATTGATGGCGTGTTTCATTGTCATAACTTTCAGAACAGTGAAAAAGAACAGCTGCTACACTTTTTTTCATTGCATATAAACTACCAATGTTTTGTTTGATTGCCGTGCCATAGTAATTTTGCAATGCATTAATAACATTTTCTGTCAAACAACCTGCTCCTCCTAGTTTTTTACTATCACTTAAAATTTGTTTGCTGCTTTTTTTTTAAGTTTCTTAAACGCGTACCAACTCGTTTTTGAATATGACCAATGCACCCTGCTTTTTTAATTTCTACATTATGTCTATAAGGTTTAGCAGCAACAACACTGGTATAAGAACTACTATCTCCGTCACCAAGATATGTGGTATACCTTATATTGTTTTTCTTTCCAGAACAATGAAAAAGTTTTAAAACATCACTTGATTCCATAGCCAATGACGATCTAGTTTGACTAATTTTACTTTTTTGGTAATGTGATGACTAGAACTTTTCATATTCAACTGGATACGTGTATTTTTTTAACTTCCATATTGAACATAATTTACATGTTTTTGCTTCTATTTGAAAGTCACCACTTTCAACTGAAATTGCAGAAATAACTCCGTTATTTGAAGTAAAACCACGCTTTTGCCATGAGCCATCAAAGCTACACATAATGTCTTTTGATGTTTCACCTGCAGGGATTAATTCATCAGCAGCATTTTTCATTTTCTGGTCAACCAAAATTTGATAAATATCTAACACGTTATGTAAAGTGTTATTGTAGCTTTTTTTGTTCATAGGTGGCTTTATATTCATTATATCACAAAATTTTTCTAATGACGAAAACCCTTTACTCATTTCACGAAAAGCCACAATGACTCGTGTGTTAATATCAAATGATTTTTGTCCAAATGTAGCAGATGAAAAAAACTCAGTTTTCCAATTGCAACTGTTACAAAATATTTTTAAATGAATACTTATACCATACTTTTTTGAGGAATCAAACATTAAAAAAATATTATCTTCACACAAACTTGGGCATTTCAGTAGCGATATAACGTTTTCCAACAGACTAAAGTTCATAACAAAGTTAATATTTGTTTTATGGCTTTTTTTATGGTTTAACTTGTTTCTGATGCGCATAACAACAAAATAAACAAAGCCTTGCTAGGGGGGAAAATAAAACACATTTTGTACCAATACATGGTAAACTAGTTTTAACATGTGAAGTTTTTTTTTATTTAACTAAGTCAACTAAAAATTCGAAATCTGCAATGTTTATATTGGTTAAATAATAAAAGTAAAAAATTTTTTTTTCACTTTTATTGGTGTACTACACTGTTAAAAAAATATCGCGTTTTTTACGGAAATTTCCGGCAGCAGATTTTCCAGAAAGTTTCCGTTGTTTTACGGAAAAATAAAGTGTTGAAGGAAATTTCCGTACAAATTACGGAAAATATCTATCATCGTAATAACAGATATTTCCGTATTTAAACGGATATTTCCGTTAACATGTGACTGATTTTTCTGTAAAATAACGGAAAATTTCTGGAAAATCTGCTGCCGGAAATTTCCGTTGAAAGCGCAAAATTTACTTTACAAAAAAAGTCTTCTAAAAATGTATTCCTTAAACGATAAAAAAAATTAATAACATAAATATATTCCGCAATTATTAATGTCATAAGTTGCTCTAAACATTGCATTAAAAAAAAATATATATGTATATATATATATATATATATATATATATATATATATATATATATTTATATATATATATATATATATATATATATATATATATATATATATATATATATATATATATATATATATATATATATATATATATATATATATATATATATATATATATATATATATATATATATATATATATATATAGATATTATATATATGCTTTTAGAACAAATAACTGTTATCTTTCTTTCTTTTTGCGTTTTTTCTCGCATTCTCTTGATTATAGCCAAACATATCTCTAAACACAAAATAAATTACATAATCATGACATAGATAATAAATTAAAATCTGTGAAATTAAGAAAGATAAGCATATATTGTGAGCCTTCTTTTACTTTTTGCATAAGCTTATTTTTTCTTTTTAAATTTTTTTAAGCTTACATATTATTGTATAAGCTTTCGCATAAGCATTTTTCGAAGATTTTATATGCTTATAATATAAACTTTAGCTGCTTTGAAAAATTTGTTTTTACCTTAAAATCAACACCAGTAGTCTATTAACATTATGATCGTATCTTGTGTTCTTGATATGATGGACCATAAATAAATTCATCAAATGGTAGACCACAAGCAAAATTATCAGTTTAAAAATAACAATAAAAACATTATTAATATAATATAATAAAAATTAGTTTAAAAAAATTAAACGAACTCTTTAACTTTTTATTAAAATATAAATATTATTATTACATTTATATATATATATATATATATATATATATATATATATATATATATATATATATATATATATATATATATATATATATATATATATATATATATATATATATATATATATATATAAATAGCTTTACTATTTTTCTCTCTACATAGTATCCAGATTCAATACAATGCTTTTTCAGTGCTTCCAGATTCCATATTTATACTTTATGCTTTGTGGATTTTAACTTTTTAAACTTTCCATATTATAGCCAACCATATACCTAACAACACAAATATAAATGCTTTAATACAAATGAGTGAAATAACAAATGAAAATATAAATACAGCAAAATCACGAATACAAATGAAAATATGAATACAGCAAAATTGTAAATCTTTGTCCGGAGTTTAAGACATTCAATTCTTAAAACAAAAAATATATTGCTTGTTTTAAGAAATAAACTTCCTATCCTGCAATTTATTTCTTAAAACAAGAAATATATTTCTTAAACTATAAATACTAGATTAACAATATTGCTGTAAATCTTAAAGCAAGAAAAAAATTTCCTACACTGTAATTTATTTCTTAAAACAAGTAATATATTTCTTGTTTTAAGAAACAAATTGGGGGATAAGAAATTTATTTCTTAAACAAGATAAATATTTCTTGTTTAAAGAACTAAATGTCTTAAAATATGGACTAAGATTTAAGATTTTGCTCTGAGGAAATGCTACTTGTAATACTTTTCATCAGTTAAAGATTTATTGTTCAAGATTTTTTTTTTTTAATTATACTTCACCTCCTCAAGGCCGAGAAGGCCACTACAGACGAGGAGGCTACTTATTTTGTGGCTATAACCCTCTCTCAACTCTATAACTCCGAAACACGAACCTTGGCGAACAAGGCTACTGCGCAGAGAAACGAGTTGAGTGCGGTACTACCAGGGACGTGGTGGGGATCTTTTTTATTAGTTAAAACTTATGGATTACTTGGCATTAATTAGAAACTGTTTTAAAATATCTTTTTTCTTCTTGAATTTTTTTTTTCACATTACTTTGTTAGAACTTCAATGAAAAAAAAACTTTTTTTCTAAAAAGAAAATATATACTTTTATCTCTTTTTCTTTACGTATGAATGTATCTACATATAGAGTATGCAGTGACTCCTGCATCAGCACAACTTGCTTATTTCCAATTAACTCTAATTGATTCCATAGGCAATCATATATCCTGCAATTGAAATGCACGCAGATGGTTTCAGAAAAAAGAGAGTGTGATCCTTCATATATTGCTATCAGATCTAGAAAACATTGTTTTATTTTATGTTGCAGATTTTAAAATATTTTAAGATATTGTTAAAAACATTTCATATTTTTAAATTTTGCTTAATTATATCTTTAGCTATAAATACTAATATATAAATAATTGTGCAATTTAAATAAATTTTTGGGATAAAATATCTAAAACACTAAAACATTAAATAAGAAAGAAATATAAGATGCAATTTTGAAATAACAAGTAAAACATTCCCAAATTTTATTTATATAAAAATACATAGTTTATACACACATATAATATATGTGTGCATAAACTATGTTTTTTATATAAATATATATGTATATATACATATACTATATGTATGTATGTATGTATGTTTGTATGTATGTATGTATGTATGTATGTATGTATGTATGTATGTATGTATGTATGTATGTATGTATGTATGTATGTATGTATGTATGTATGTATGTATATATATATATATATATATATATATACATATATATATATATATATATATATATATATAAAAGGTTAGCAAACTAAGCTAAGATCTTAGGATGATGTTTACATTTGATAAGTTCTACAAAAATAAATGTACTGTAAAACCATCATTTAAAGTAATAAATCTCAAAATCACTTTAGTAAATAAATAAATACTTCAAAGCATTTACTCTACAAGAGATATGCATACTAAAATACGAATAACATTCAAGCCTTACACCTACAACTTAAATTTATTATATTATATATTAAATGACTAAATACTTTTCTAACTAAAAATGCATCATATTTTCATTTCTGGAAGTTATTCTGATACACCAAAGCACTTGAATTTTGAGAAAAATATTAAATATAAATCCAGAATGATTTAACAACAATAGACAAAACAAACAATACCTTTAAAGCAATAACTTAAGGCCTTCACATTTTATTTATTTGTTGGAAATTACCATTTTTATTTTTAATCCATACTATAGAGCATCACTTGATTCTATAGTATCAACAATAACGTACTATATATAGCCTTTTTACAATGTTGGACTGCTAGAAATAAGGTTTACGTTCAAAATCTTTTAGTGAACTGATCAAAACTGTATGTTTTGTATTTAAATTGTATGTAAAACTGATTTAGTTTTACATACAATTTTTAAAATCTTTTAGTGAACTGAACAAACTTTTTCTAAAAACAATCAGAAATAATGAAGAAAGATGATAGCAGATGTATTTATTTTATATAGAACTTTACTATTCTGCATGACTACCCTGCATGGATATTATAAACAAATGAATTTAATAATGTATTCTAATCATAGTTGTAATTTCTGGGGTAATCTTTATAAATTTGTTTTTAAATTATTTTTTTTAATATTTACTTGTAGATAACTTAAATATCTTATTTATAAAGATATTGTAATTAAATATTAATAAAAATGTAAATTGTTATAAAAAGTTTTTAAAACGATGAGAAATTCATCGGTCTTGTCATACAAAAGCACTAGTGCTTAAGTAGTGCTATTTTAAAATTTATTTATTTTGAGCTACATATTTTAACATGTGAACTTTTTTTCCTTGGCTTTGAAATGATCCATTTTATATATAACATGTTATGTGAGTGCACTTCCATAAATTTAAAATCACTCAAAATTGAACTAAGAATGCACAAGTCTTGTGTCAAGAACCCTACTAAACATAGTCTCGTTCTAAGCAACTCAGGGACCAAATAAAGCTCATGTAATTTTAAAATTAAAAAGAACAGAACAGTTTATATTAAAATGCCTGGTGAACTTTCTTCGCCCTGCAGGTGAAACTTCAGAACTTATTTTTGGAGATAAATACGTACATAAAAATAACTTTTAAAAATCTTCAACATGTATTTTCTATATAAATACAACGGAAATTTCCGTATTTGAAAATTTAGCTACAAATACGGAAAATTTCCGTACATAATCGATGGATACATGCATATATGGACATACGGATATTTTCCGTTGAAATAACGGAATAAATTTCCGTTTTTTTAACGGAAATTTGTAACAGTGTACCACGTTAATAAACACTGCATACGTATAGGGAAGGATGGGAGCTGTTACAAAGGACGGTCGTTGAAAGCATACAGGTGTGTACAAGGCAGTAAAAAGGTTTAAAAGAAGTGATTTTACTGCGTACGTACTTTATAGTTACCCCTAATACCAGTTAAATTTAAGTTACCTATTACTTAGCTAGTTTCTTCCCTACATTAAATGAAAGCACAACTTGCAGATATAGTATTAAGTTTATGATGATGAAAATTATATGCTGATTATGGTAATGATGACTGCGATGATGATTAATGTCATCATAATCATCATCAGTTAGATAAATTTATTAGAGGCTCTGAAACTATACAACTATATAACTGTGTTAAAATAGTTTTAAAACAAAAAAAAGTTTATACTAATATTATTAACATAATCTTTTATTTTACTATGCTTTATGATGACCATGGTGTAATAATTTAAAAAATTTTTTAAATAGTCTTAAAGTTTAAATTATTTTTCTATTTATTTTGTGAGGTATTTTTTTAACACAGTCTTTGTGCTTTTCAGAAGTTGTTGCCAGCGCCAGAAGTTCTGCATTAAGAAATGGTAAATAAATGTAAAAATTTGATGATGACGATCATATTTTTTTCTTTTTTTTCTTTTTTTTGTTTTTTGTTGTTGTTTTTTGATTTATATTTGTTGGTTGTTGTACAACTTTATACAAACAATATTAAAAATAATAATATAGACTTATAACGATAGAAAATATAACAATTATATGCAAGGTATCTAAAAGAAGATTAAAAGGATCTTGTTATCAGAACATTAGTTATGCACGTTGGCACGAACAAAGTTATGCACGTTGGGCGTGGTTACTCTAAATCTACTAAAACTTATTCAATGTTTGATTTGAGTGGAAACAGAATTCAACTGGACGTCACTAAATACAAACATGATCTGGGAGTACTTCTATCAGACGATCTTAAAGTAAGCTATCAAGACAAATCAGCAGCAGCAAGAGCCAACAGTAAACTTGGTAGACTTTAGAAAATTTTTAGAAGTCGTGGACTCTTTTTGTGGAAAGTACTCTACAAAACATATATAAGACCCCAGTTAGAATTTGCTATCCAGGCTTGGTCCTCAAACAATGAAAAAGACATTGCTATTCTAGAACAAGTACAGCATAAAGTAACTAAAACAATATCGGAAATAAAGCATTTGCCATATGAAGAGAGACTTTTTCATCTCAGTTTAACTACTCTTAAAGAAATGAGAGTTTAAGAAGATCTGATTCAACAGTTTAAAATTTCAAAAGGTATTGATCAAATTATTTTTGATAACCCTCAAGTCTACGCACCATCGATTTACAAATATAATTTACGTGGACATTATCTTCGACTCGAACGCCAAAGGGTAAAAAACTGTCAAGTTTATTACCCTTTGGCGTTCGAGTCGAAGATAATGTCCACGTAAATTATATTTGTAAATCGCATCGTGAATGTTTGGAATACGCTGCCTTTAAACGCCATAAGAGCAGAATCAGTCAACTCGTTCAAGGTTAGTGTTCATAAATTGAAATTCGTAATAGACGAATGATCGGACACACGAGTGTCTTCTGTCAGCATGGAAGTGCCTGGTGTAGCACTTCCTCATCAAAATATATAAATGTATTATATAATTGATTTCTGAAATAAATAAACTCAAACTCAAACTCATTAAACAAGCATTTAACAAGGATAAGATAATCAAAAAGTTGATATACTTTTTCAAAATTAAAAGGTAAATAATCTTTGTATCTGAACATATATTAAGATGATCTTCTAATCGAAATTTTATACATGCGTAAACCAACATGTAAATTGAAAAAATAAAGTTAAAAAACTTATAAAATTAGGAATAAACTTCAATAAACGAAGACGTTTATATAAACAGCTCCCTGCCATGGCTGCCTACCTTGATTGGAAATCTATTTGAAAATCATGCATAACTTTAAAATGATTAATAATTGTTATTGTGAGTTTTAAAAGCCGACTTGGTTTACATAAATATAAGTTCATTATTAAACTATATTTATACCTCATAATAATTAATGAACCAACCATAAAATAATACAAACAAATATTGTTATAATTTGCAAAAAAATTAATCATTTATTTTTATTAAATTACTTTGTTAAATTACTTTATTTAATTACTTTATTAAATTACTTTATTGAACTTATTATACACTTTATTTTATTATACAAATTATTATACACTAATTATACAATTATTACACAATTTATTATACACTTTTTTAATTACTTTATTAAATTACTTTATTTAATCAATTTTATACTTAATTTATTTATTACTAATATTAATAGAGATGAATAAATATTAATTCATATACTATTGTTATTTATAAATATCACTTAAGTAAATACAATAATCATTATATTCATACGCTCATGTTTTTTAACCGCACCATTTATCAGGAAATTAATAGTGTACAACTTTTCATAAATCATAAATTACAAATAAAATTAAAATAAAACAGATAAAAAAAAATCTAGAACTTTTTGTCAGAGATGTAAAAACTTTATTGAATTTTTCGACTGTTTCTTGATCTTTTTTTAGTCCATCCCTGTCAATTGACCCTGAAAGTCATTTAGTAATTTTTCCAGTTGAATAGCTGTTGATGTAGAACAACTTTTTCTTACTGCATCTGCATAATAAAATGTGGAAAAATAAGCAGATGAAAAGATCATAATACAAGACTTTATTATAGAATATTTATGATGATGATGATCACAACGAAGATGAGAATAAGAATTTTTTATCTTATATAAAACTAGTTTTTCAAAATAATTTTATTTATATGTTTGCCTACCATATATGACACTTTTTAATCCAACTAGACAACTAAACTCTAAATTTCCTTTGCTTCCTGTAAAGTTATACAGCATTGATAGTTTAGCTGTCAAAATTTTCTTGCAACTTTTCTCAAACAGTCATTAAGACCACTTCATCCAATTAGAGACAAAAAAGTAATCTATAAAAAAATACACATTTGTTTTTAGTTATTGTTTATGAAAATCACTTTACTAAAATATAGACGTTATTATATATAAAGTCAATTCTAAATAGAAAAAATACACAAGTTTGAGTTCTCAATTAAAAAATATGGACATTTTTATATTCTTTGTACTATATAATGATAATATAAAGCTTACTGTATTTGAACGATGTTCAGTATTTTACAGAAATATCTTATTTAACTCTAAGAGTTCATCTATTTATTTTAACGAAGTTTTCTGGAAGATTTTCACTTGTATCATGACCAAGAGACGCTTGCCTTTGGAGCTACGTTACTCTGACTTTTTTTTCTCAGACTGTTGAATCACAAAATAAGGTCTAACAACATCAGTCACATCTTTTTTTATTAAATCAGGAGCAATACAAAAAGAACAAGTTATATATAGGAAATGCACAGGTATACAAAGTTCAAAAATGACCCTGGGAGTTTTAGAAATCACAAAATCCTTATTTTTGCATAACTTCTAAAGTGTTTGAGCTTTAAAAATGTTGACAGACTTTAGAAAAATATAAAAAGAAATATTATGTTTCTTAGTTACATATTGTATTTCTTAAAAAATATAAATGCAATAGTATAAATGCCAAAAACTATTTAAAATGAGAAATTTATGAATTGCAGATGTGATGTTTGTGCTAGAACTAGCTGGTGAAGGTTGATCAATTCGATCAGTAGAGGTGGTGGAAGCCCACTGTCAACAGGAAGGTGGTAGAAATAGTGGTACCAAATTTTCACTATTTAAAGATTCAGAACTAGAATTCGCTGCTTGATTGATTGATCAGTTTTGATAATTTTTGTTTTAGAGTTCCTGTTTTTTTTCTTATTTTCGATTGCAATGTCAGGACTCCTAAAATTGAATACAAAGTGTTAATAAAATTAATTTCAAATATAAATACAACAATAGCAAAATAAATTTCAACGTAAGAATGTTTTCTAATATTACATTTATATAGAATATAACCAATATAACATTTAAATCTTAATTTTTGAAAAATACACAATAAATATACTTTACCGTTTGCTGTTTTTTCCTTTTTTAAAAATCAAGTTTTATTTCTGTATTAATTGAAGAAAAATCACACAAAGATTTTGATTTGACCTTTTTTATTTTTTCAAAGTCGGGAAAATTATGATTTGCAGTAAAACAATTTTTTTATCAAAACTATTCAAAAACATTTACAAATTAAATTCCTCCAATTTTCAATACTTTTATTTAAGGATAGAGAGGCCAGTCTTTGTAATCAGCAGTTGCTATATTTCTCATTTTTGCCCGTTGTGTAGCGCTAACTCCTTGAGTCCAATACATGTAGGTGATGCTTGTAACAACCTGTAATCAAGGACTATTGTCACTCCGTCCTCAAATTCATCTAAATAATACATAACTAAAATGAAAAAAAATTAGCAAAAAAATTAGTTAAAACAATAACTTTAATCATCACTATGTTAATGTAATGATATTTAAAACAGCATAAAGTACTTATATGAAAAAGTCTTAATAAAAGTATAAAAAATTTATTTAGTATTTTATTAGATGTGCAGTTTATTTAAATAATCTATCAAATTTTGTTACTAGAATTTTAATTTTTATTCAATTTCAAAATTTATTTCAAAATAAATTTGTTTTAAAACTTCATTCGGCATACTATATAATACTGAAAAGTTTTTTCATGTTCATATTTTGTATAAAAACCATAACTCATCAAATGCTAATAATTTTGTACATATTGGTATTATTAATATCAATATGTAAAAAATACAAAAAGTTAGGAAAAAAAAATACAGCTCATGATTTATACAATCATTGAGGCTTTTTAGATAGAAAAATACAAACCTTTACAAACTTGGATTTGAATGGAAGTAACACATAATTCTTTCTATATTTCTGTATTTGTTTTTAGAGTAAAAGATTTAAGTGCTACAATATGAAATAACAATACCAAAGTGAAAATAAGAGTCACCTTCAAATTTTTTTAGAGTGCTAGTAAAGTTTTTTTAGTAAAGTTTGTTTAAAAAATGGGTGCAACACTCTAAGATTATTCAAATATGAAGTTACCGCAATCGTGGCAATAGAAAAAGATGCTGCCCACGTTTCCAAATTAAATGAATAAACTTTTTTCTGTCTATTGATTTTAAATTAAGCATATTTAACTCAGAATCATTATCAAATTTGGAATTATCAAGACATGAAAAAAAGATCCAATAAACGTTAATTAGAAACTTTAAAATTGAATATTTGTTTCACAACTTCATTAAAAGCTAGCAGTCATGAGATATAACACTACAACATATCTCTTTTAAAATATAATAGATATAACACTACAACATTTAAGATATAACACTACAACATTTATCTCTTTTAAAGCTAGATTATTAACAGATAATGAAAATTCTGTATCAATATCAGACATAATTTTGTTGACAGATTTAAATATTTTTCTTCCCTATGACCAATAAGATTGCACATTATAATCTGTTAAAATCCCTTATATAAAATTTATGAAAGCTAAAATTTTAAAAAACGAAAACTATGAAAATACAAAATATTTTAAGTTTTAATATATTTATACTTTAAAATTGAATATGACTTTGAAACCTAATACAGTTCTATACCCAGCTAACAATTAACGTTCAAGAAACGTTACCATAACGTTCGTTTAGATTTGTATAACGTACGCTGCAAACGTTCTTTGAACTAACTTTTGTGAACTCTGATTTACAGTTCTTGAACGTTTGCTGTGTACGTTCAAATAACAAATAACAAACGTTGACTTAACGTTAGCAGCAAACGTTACTTTTGATAGCTCTTAAACGTTCACCCCAGCTAACAGTTAACGTTCAAAAAAGGTTAAACGTTCGTTTAGGTTTGCATAACGTACGCTGCAACCGTTTTTTGAATAAATTTTTGGTAATTTTTGTGTACTTTGATAGCTCTTGAGCGTCCACCTTAAACGTGTTATTACGAACACGGACGTTTACCTAACATTTTTTTTAAATCCACGTTTGCTAGTATTTGTAATGTAATGCTTTTATGAACTTACATAACCTTTTTTTACTTGATAAATACAAATTCACTATGTTTTATAGCTGAATTACACCATATAAAGCTAATATGAAAACTCACGATTTAACTATTACATTTCAATCAAAATTAATTTATTAGTACTAGTTAGCGCTCTATAGGGTATAAATAACAATTTACATCAATTTTAACTAAACTTTCACAAAACAAAATCAACAACATAAAAATTAATACAAGTTATTCCAGTGAAAAAGTGCAGCTTATACCATTAAAAACATAAAAAATTATGCACGTCGTATTTTAAAACATAAAAAATCATGCATGTCGTATTTTAAAACAAAAAAAATCATGCACGTCGTATTTTAAAACATAAAAAATCATGCACGTCGTATTTTAAAACATAAAAAATCATGCACGTCGTATTTTAAAACATAAAAAATCATGCACGTCGTATTTTAAAACATAAAAAATCATGCACGTCGTATTTTAAATACCAAAACTTATCATACTTCATCATATTTTTTTAATTAAAAACAAATGCTTTTTGTGGAATTGATAAACAAACTAGTTTTATTTATGAAATATCTATACACAAAGAATGACATAAGTTCACAATAATGTATTTTAGGGACAGCATAATTAACGGGTCTCTAATATTTTGAAAAAAAAAATTTAAAAATACCATGTTGGATCTTCAAAGTAGTAAAACTATATAAAAATTTTAATAAATAATCATTTTATAATACAACTACGAATTTTGATTTAATTAAATAAAAATTATAGTTTTTAAACAAAAAAAAATTGCATTTTTACATGTTTTTAATAAAAAAAGAATTCATATTTTCTTTCTAAAACGAATATTGTTGTTGAAATTTATAACCCTAACCCTGACGTTGTTGAAATTTATATATTATTTTTGCTACTTTTGAGTATCAGGTTGACTTTAAAAGATTTTCTTTTTAATATAAGGACCCCGTTGAAATGTAAAGTTAATTGAGCTGTCACCTAACATTGGAATAATGCTTTGAAATTTTAGGAAAATATTTTTTTCATCAATTAACAACATTTAAACATCTAGTTTAAACATTATCTCTGCAACACATTTTTATTTTGAGCATTTGCTGTAAGTTTTGCCTAAATAAATACAATAACGCTTTTTTATTATAAAGACTAAATGATTAACACTATGATCTGCATTACTAGTAAAAAATTACTTAGATGTGTTTAAGAATCAACTTTACAGGTAATAAAAAAAAACAATTTTATTTCATGTACCTCAAAGTTCACTCCACCTATTCGATTGGGAGCATGCTTTAACACCTCTTTATTTTCTTTCTCTATCTGTTCGCATCCTTGACGATTTTTTTTACAAACGTCTAAATAAAGAATAAAATCATATTTTTACAATAGTTAATAAAAATACTCATGTTAATCGTATGTTAAAAATGTTAATCGCATGACCAAATACCATAAAAAAGTATATGGTACATGATTTTTTTTAAATGAAATTAGGCATTTCTTGTATTACATTTTATTTGCAACATGCCATATAAAAATCTTTAGAAAAACTTACTAATAATTACTTGGCAGAGTGAATAGCTATTAACTGACTATTTTTCTTTTCGGACGCTAAAACTAAACAATGGCCAAACTTGATTAGTTGCAGCTGTACGCATTATGCATCAAATTACGACGACCAAGACTGCCAAAATAATTAATCTATATGTATTAAGGGCGGATCCATAGGGGGCGAGAAGGGCAATTGCCCCACCCACCCCTTAGATAGTTTTGAAAGTTTTTGTTTTTGTAACTTTGTATATTAAACCACCAAGTTGTTTAAATACGGAAAAAATATAGTTAGGCTGTCAAAATAAAATTACAATTTTAAAAAAGTTGTCTAGTGCAAATTCAAAATTGTGTTACAAATCATTAAATCTGAAAAAAATCCCACTCCTTACTAGATCGTCTGCATCCCCAAATCAAAAAAAATAAAAAAAAAACCTCCTACCCTTTTACAACATGTTCTTGATCTGTCCTTGATGTATTTATTACTTTCAGGTCAGGTTATCATGCTACTGATAACATGTAATCTCTGTCATGTCCTGCTGCCTTGTACGATACGCTTTTTTAGGCAAAAGCAAGGAGAAGTCAACTTCAACTTAAAACAACCCCTGTCTTGGGGATCATGGTTGAGTAAAGGCAAGAAATGGTGTCTCGATAAAAATACTTATCTTGGGCAGATGTTAAATGCATCCAACTACTGTCTTGTTGAAGGCCTACTAAACAAAGACTTAAGGGGTAAACAGATTCTATCTGTTGATTAGCCTCGCACCCTTTCTTCATCTATTAGGCTAGCGCAGATGTATTTTTAATACATTTTTTCTAGTTTAAGATGTTGAATGCTGGATCTTCTAAACTCAATGCATAGGTTTTACTTGTGTCTCTGTTTTTATGACTAGGCAACTCATTCTGTTATCTCCGAATGAGAGTACAGCTCTAAAACTCAGTTTTATGGTTCTGAGGCCAGCTGGTAGTCAGGTTTCCCAAACTCTGTGGTAGCTCTTAGGAAGGCTGATTCCATCAGCAGCTAAAAAATATTAAAGTATTAACATTGCCATGCTGCGCATGGATGGTGTCCTTTTTTGTATTTTTGGTGTGCATTGCCGAGGCCACATTTGGAGCCCTTTGTTACGGTTTATTAATAGTAATGAGGCAATTGTTTGGGCTATTAAACATTGTACTGAGTACTGTCTATGCTTTCAGTCTAGTTCTTTAACAAATTTAAAAATGAATAAAGTACCAAAAACTATAAAACACAAAAAACCATCGTCATCACCAAGTTCTCTAAATCTATCATTCACTTATATTCGTGGTCTTCGAAGTAACTTCTCAATTGTTGAGTCTTATCTCTTGCAAAGTTCACCAGATCTACTTGCTCTTTGTGAAACTAATTTGAGTTTAGCTGACTCATCTTGTGATCTTACTGTTGATGGTTATCTTCCTTTAATTCATAAAGACTTCAATAGTCACATGCTTAGCCTGATAAGCAAAGATGCACAACTCTGGAAAAAGCTATATATAACTTATATACGTCCATTTTTATAATTTTCCATTACGCTTGGTGTCTTTATTTAGAAAAGGGCACTTATTTAATTAAAAGCATTCAACGGCGTATTACAAAAGTACCGCAAGAAATAAAGCCTTTTGATTATAAATTAAGATGTATCAAACTTGGTCTCACTTCTTTACGCAAACAAAGAAAACAATTAGACCTTATTTAAAAATTTAGATTAGAGAATAAAATTGAGTTAGTTAACTGGTTTATTAATCCAAATAACATTATCCCCAGCAATGGCTTTTGCATCCGGTACCATCGTGAAATTAACAAAAACTGTGAAGTCCGATATAACTTTTTTAACAACCGTGTAGCAAACACATAGAATGCTTTGCGTAGGAAAAATTAAAATAAAATTAAAATCCTTTAAAATTTTTTATTTATACTTATTATAGTTATAGAGAGGATAGTTCTGGGTAACATATTAAATAGTGATTAATAATAAAGTATTCTGGATAACATCATTAATAATGATCAGTAATGGCGTTTTTTAATATCAATAAAATATATCAAAATAAAAACAAACAACACTAAAAGTAACAATTTTTTCATTAACAATAAAAACAATAACAAATGAACTAACATTTATAAATGTGTTTCAAATAATGTTTAAATTTTTTTCGTATTTAGAACCTTCACATTTAAAAAGAAACGTCCTTTCATTGGTACTCTTGGTTTTAGTTATAAGTCTTTTTTACTCAAACTTCGATTATTTATTATTGAAAAATTCAAAATCAGGTTATTTTTGTTTTGAATTTTTTTCCTTTCTTTTAGAACTGTTTCTTTTTTTTTTCAGTTTGAAAAAATTTTGATTATTACAACAAATAATGGATTTTATAAGTATTTTCATAAAGACATAATTTTTTTTTTATTTAGGTGCCCCAAGAAGTCCTTACGGACTTATCACAGAGCACTGCGGTGAAGCATTTAATGTCGCAAAGTTTGCCCAGAGATGGGGTTTGAACCACAGATCCTTTGTTTCTGAGGCAAATGCGCTACCACTGCGCCACGGCTGCTCCGTTTCTAGCCTTTAATCAAAAAAGCCATTTCTAGCCTTTACTCAACCAAAAACCCCATGGGAGGGGAATTTTAAATCAAAGTTTATTTCTTATGCCTTTTGCCTAAAAAACCATTCCTCTTAAAAATGGTACATGGAACAGTTCATACTTATTTACATGTTACCAATGGCAGGGTGATTTTGATGATCTTGAACCTGACATGACCTTACCTGGGATTTGAGTTGTTTAATTATTCCTAAGATGATAATATTTTGCAAATCATCAGGTGAACATTCGGTCAGCAAAAGTAACATGCTTTTTTATAAAAAAAAAATAAATGGCTGATAAAAATAATTGGAATGGTCAGATTATTTAGCTTATTACATTACTAGGGAAATGCTCTCTCTCCCCCTGTTCCCTTCTCCTTCTTCTCGCTCCATCCTCAAAAATAAAGCAAAATTTTATCCCTGATTTTCAATAGTGATCTCATCAAAGAAAAAAGGTTGAAAAATTTCAAACCTTTTTAATTGCTTTAATTTTTAGGGCACACATGAAGTCAGAAAAGTTGAAAAAGTGAGTGGAATTATGGACCAGAACGCTTATCAGACTTTCTTAGTTTAAAAATCTTGATTAGAAAAACTTTTCTCAGGCATTGATTATATATGTTATAATAAAATCACAGATCATTATCATATATATCATGTTTATACTCAATTATCACAAATTGATAGCAGACTTGATTATTTTATATGTTTACATTCTTCTGTATTCAGAACCTTTTCTGTATTATGTTACAATCAGTGTATTTTGCCAATACACTGTGTGATGATAAAGACTAACACACAGGTTCATTATTCATGACTGAACTTTTTTTTTTCATTATTTAACTCCTTGTTTTTTTTTACTTGCCTGCTGCTAATAAAGTTATTATTCAATCAAACAGTCTTATTTAAAAATGACTAAAGGTTTTTCGACAAGACAAACAAAACAAAAATCTTTGAAACTCATATTTATAAATAATAAGAAAATCTGCAGAAATTGAACAGAAGTTAAAAGCTGCTTTATCCTACCTTACAATGAATTTGATATGAATCATAGTATAAATTAGGAGTAATTATTATATCTGAGTTTTAAAAAAAAATGTTTTGATATCTTTTTTGTCGTTTTAGCTATATTTTATTTTAAATCATTTTTTTTAATTGGTTAGCAACATTCTATCTAGGTATCTATGGCGACATTAAACTTTTAAAAAAGTTTGTTTTTAAGTCCTAAACTTAGTGGAATTGATATTAGGTTTGCTGCTGTCTTACCAATGTCAAAACATAAAAGTAAATATATAAAGAATTTAAAGCTCCATGTAAATTTGTTTTGATTTCAGCCTTTGAAATGTTATGTAAACTTTGTCCGCTTGATTCTATAGTTGTTAACATGAGTATTTGTTGGCTTATGAATTTTATGAAACAATTGGAAACTTTGCTGCGTTAATTTATCTTATATTATAAATACTAACAAAATAAAAAAAAACTATGAACAGAAGATGTTCTCAAGTGACATATAAGATTTTATGCACACCAACAACCTAAAGCCCCAAAAAGTTAACATTGCGTCAGATTTTAAAGGCACCCTCAAGTCTGTCACTCTGACTCAGGGAAGAGAGTTTAAAAAACATACAATACTAGTCATTTTGTCTATGATTAAAAATCTAAAAACTTAAATGGGTTTCTTACCAAAACTACATCAATTCTTGTGTTTGTGTTGTGTATAGATCAAGTCAAAAACAGCATATTTTCAATCCGCAAAGTAAATGAAAAAACTTAAAAAGCTTATGAATTTAGCGCTAAAAAAGCGCAAAATTTATAAGCGCAAATTGGTATTATTGTGAGGCATTGCAAACACTAGCATAAGTGCAAACTGGCATGTTTGCAAAGAGGCATAATTGCTCCACAAAAATTTGAAAGGAGGCATAAGTGCTCAAAAAAAACAACAAATATTGGCATAATTGCGAACTGGCATATTTGCGAGCTGGCATAAGTCCAAACTGGCATAAAAGCGAAGCAGTTGCAAAAACCGGAAATAATTTAAATCTGCATAAATACGAAAAGGCATAAGTGCGCCTAAAGAATTATGCAAACATCGGCATAAGTGCTAACTCTCACAAGTGCAAACTGGCATAAGTGCAAAGCAGTTACAAAGGCTAGCATAAGTGCGACTTGGCATAAGTGCGCCTAATAAAATTGCAAATATTAACATATATGTTAATTGGCATTTCGCACTTATGCCAATTCACACTTATGTCAGACCACACTTATGCCAATATTAACAAATTCTTTTGACAATGTTAACAAATTTGATCTGACTTGTCTAAAAACGGTCCCATTAGTCTTTTTCCTATCATAAGCTAGGTTTTTGAGTCTTTAATTAACAATCACTTAATCTCTCATCTTGAATCTAATAACTTACTTTCTGATCATTAATATGGATTTTGATCTTGTCGTTCTACTGCTGATTTGTATACAATAATAACTCATAAGTTTTATGGTGTATTAAATAGATCTGGATAGGCTAACCCTATCCCTCTAAACATTTCTAAGGCCTTTGATAAAGTTCGGCATGCTGTTCTTCTCCAAAGCACTCTTTTTACGCTGTATCAGGCAACATCTTTAGGAATATTGATTCCTCCTTACCAATCATAGCATAAAAGTTGTCCTCGTTGAGTAGACTAATCTTCTTTTTCTTACCCTTCAAGGGCACCTCAAACTTTTTTTCTTGGCCCAATACCTTTTTTAGTTTACATTAACAATCTCCCAGATATTCTTACATCTAAGGTGACATTTTTTGCTGATAATTTTATTTTTTAATCATTATTCTTTTTTTTTTTATTAATTGATTTTTTTATTTTATACAATATTTAAAATATTCATTTATTCTTGTTTTGATAAGAAGCCATAACTCTCTTATTGCTAAGAGGGAGTATTAAAGGTCTCACTTTTGCTGCAGCAGAAGTAAGATTCTTTTCAAGATCAAATGCCCTCTTTTTTTCGGGTAATTTTTAATAATCTAGATCTTTCTATATTTATGAACAGTAATAAGCTAATCTACTTCCTTGACTTCTAATATCAACTTCGACTTCTAATACTAACTTCGACTTCTAATATTAACCTTCGACTTCTAATATTAACTTTTAATTACGATCCTAAATAGAATTAATATATTAAATTCATTGCAAAAATAGCATCTGCTAAGGTTGCATCTCTTTATTGTACTTGCAATTTATATCATACGGATTCTATTTTTTATCTCTATAAATCTCAAGTCCTCCTTGTATGGAAGGCTATTGTCATATCTGGAGCAGATTGAATGATGATCTTAGACTCTTTTAGACAATGTGCAAAAACGCATTGTAGTGAAGTTGACAAACAAACCTTCAACCATTGTTATATCGTTATAATATTTCTTTTCTTTCTCTTTTCTATAAATATTATAATGGGCGCTGCTCTGAAGAGCAAGCGGCTTTTGTGCCTTCTAATAAAATTTATTCTTGTGTTCCTTGTCATTCAAATAAGTCTCATCCTTTTACTGTGGCTGTTCCTAAGTGCTCCAAAAAATCCTGGCTAGCTTTTGAATGATGGTCTTAGACTCTTTTAGACAATATGCAAAAACGCATTGTAGCTAAGTTGACAAACAAGTCTTTAAATCAAGATGAAGGAATTCACTTCCTTCGTCTTGTTTTCCTTATTCATACATTTTGCTATCTTTTAAGTTGTCTTTTAATTGTTATTTTGCTTTATAAACGTCATCTTTTCTCTTCCAGTAACTTTCAATCTAAAAGTAACTGCTTGCAGCCTTGTTGGATGTGAAGAAAAACAAAAATGGAAAAAAATATATATTTAATGTAAATGTTTTTGTTTGTTAGGAGTAAAAACTTTAATCTTTTATTTTAGATACTTCAAGTTCATCAGAAAATTCTTCCGGTTTTTCTGCCAAGACAGGTAAATATTAAAGTTAGTTTCTTCAAATTTACTTATTTTTTACTATATTTTCACACCTTTAAATCTTTTATCTAACATCCTAAAATAGTCAAATAACTAAATGCTAGACAATTAATACAGTATTCGATCCCCTTACTTTACTGACATGCTAGCAGCTGTGATTGAACAGTTTAATTGTGCATTAAATGGTGGCTGTGACACAAGGGTTTTTGCTCTTGACATGTCTATCTTTGGTCCTGTTTTGTGATTTATCTAAGTTAATGATCTTTCTTACAAATCTTGCATCTAAAGTGGATCTGTCACTCTAGCCTGAAAAGAGAATTTTAAAAATATGTCATGCAAATCATTATTTTGTCTGAGATTAAAAATCTAAACTCTTAAATAGGTCTTCTTACGAAAACTACACCAATCCAAGAAGAAGAGTATGTCTTGTTTATAGACCACGTTAACAACTGCGTGTTTTTAGTTCGTAAAGTAAATGTTTTAAAAGAGTACATATATAAGTGTCAAATAGTTAGATCTACAAATATCTTGACCTACTAATTTGTTCTACAAAAAATTCATATACTAAAAAGTTGAACTAATTTTCAGATGTCTTACTGAAACCTGATTAAAAAAATTGTTTTCAACCAAATATAGTTCTTTTTATTTTCGACCAATTTACGATTTTTTATTTTCGACCAAATTATTTTTCAACCGATTTCATAAATTTTTATTTGCAACCGATTTTAGATAAACTAATTTTCAACTGATTAAAGGTGGTACTTGTTTTAACCTACTAGTCTGTGTCTTTTAACGTTTTTTTCTTTGCGCTTTTAATAGTTTTTTTTTTTTATAAAAAAGACACTAACAACAAATCAATAATATACTTTACTGATATCTTACTGAAATAGCCTGCTGCTTTAGGCTTTAGTACATACATCAATTATTTAGTGCATACATCAACTTATAGCCTGCTACCAGTTAAAGAGTGCGCTACATCAACTTAGCGTTTTTGCTGGAACAACAACTTTTTATTTTATTATTCTTTGTTTCTTTCTTCTTTTTCTGAAAAAGCTATATGTCTAAAGGTAAGCAAAAAGAATAAGCAATTGCTGATTTTTACGATAAAATATATATATATATATATATATATATATATATATATATATATATATATATATATATATATATATATATATATATATATATATATATATATATATATATATATATATATATATATATATATATATATATATATATATATATACATATGTAAAATTTTAGAAAAACAAAATTAGTTATGGTTTTGCCGTGTTAATATTTTAATCATATTTTAGTTACTTTTCCGGTCAAACAACACTGACCCACCCAGCAAGACATTAATTTTATAATTTTTTTTTTTTGCAGATTTGGAATCTCCATAAAATTCTTCACCAAAATTAACCTTGTCGTTTATTAAAGTTAAAAAAAAAAATTAAAAAAATCGACACACTCTAATGTAAGAGTGTTTGATAACGTTATATGAAAGTTATTTTATTCCTAAAAACCATGTTTTCAGATATTCTTGATTTCATAAAATTTTTAGTGCTCACCCGGTGTTATTGTGGTTTATAATTAAATGAGCTAAATCATGCGATATTTGGTTTCGACTATCAGTGCTTTAAATTATAAGTTATTTCTTAAAGCTTTTTTTTAATAAATACAAAATATTTTAAATGATTTGTTACTTCTGTAACGCCAAAAGAAATGATATAGCACAAACTGCAGATTTATTTAGCTCCAAAGGTATATTTAATACAAGAGTTTTTCTTGTTGGGACTAATAAATTTAGTATATTGTTTCAAGACTTCAGACTCACCAGAAATATCTCCCAGTTTTTGTCAAGAAAGATAATTATAAAAGTTAGTTTATTAAAATTTACTTTATATTTACTATATTTCAATATCTCTGAGTCTTTCGTCAAATAATTTCTGACATCTTTTTTGAGTTAAATAACTTATTTTAAGATAAACAATACAATTTTCATACTTCTTACTCTACAACTGACATGCTAACTGCTGTGACTTAACAATTTTATTGTTCATCAAATGAAGGCGGAGAGTCTAGGGCAACTGCTTTTGACATTTAAATCTGCCGCATTTTGTTTTTTATCTGCATTTATGAATTTCCTGCCAATTAACATTAAGCTACATTTACATCTTTTTTTGGGTTTCTTTGCCGATGACTCATTGTCTTGACAAAATGTCTTCTATTTTTGATTGCTCAGAACAAGCATTCAATTTTGAACCTTATTTCACTTTTATAACTGATTGGAGCTTGCAGTTGCTTCTGATTTTAACCTTAGCAGAACTCAGTTTGTTGACTGCAAACAACTTCCACAATACTGTTGACGCTTATACACTGATGAATGGCTGCCCCATCAATCTTCTCTATGTCATAAGTTGCTTCTTATTATTGTGCTAGCCATTTTCTTTCTCCTGGATCCATTCTCTTAATCTAAAAATTTCTTCTTCATTTTTGTATAGATTAGTGTTGTCATATTAGGGCTTCTAATGATGCTTTTTCTATTCTAGACAAGATTCAAAAATCCATTGCAAACGTAGTTGGACATGATCTGTCTGCTAAACTGAAGCCTCTCTTCCACCATTGTAAAGTTGCATCTCTTTCTTTTTCTACATATGCCGTCATGATTGCTACTCGTTGGAGCTATCATCTCTAGTTTTATCAACTAAAACTCATTCTTGCTTGACTCTTTATTCAGCAAAATCAATTTTTTTTGCTGTATCTGTCCCTGCATGCTTCAAAATCTTTTATTTGTCTAATAATTTTCCCTGCACTTTAACGGAGCCGTCCAGTTATAAAGACCTAGGAGATCTGATAACAAAAACAGGTAGTAGACTATGTTGTTGAATAAAAAATAAAATTTAGTTGTTGTTGAATAAAAAATAATTTTCATTTGATCAGAGTAGAACACCCTGGTATTGTTTTCAAAGTAATAAAAAAGTTTATGAGTATAACTATATTGAGTCAATGAATCTCTTCTGCACAGTATATGAATAGCTAGACCAAGAAAATGGATTTATTTTTCTTTGCTTAGTACATATTTCTAAACCACTCACCCACAATATTAAAGAGAAGTTCTCAATTCAGTGGCTTTCCACAACTTAATATCTTTTAGACTTATTGGTTTACAATTAAATTCGTATAAAGTTATTCTTTTAAGGATCATAAGTAAACAGTTAACTAATTTATTTGCCATGATAAAAATCAAAAAAGAAGCAGCCCTTTTTTCCAGATAAAAATTATTATTTTAATCCAACCATGGTATACATAATGCATTGCGTCAAGAACTGCTGCATCATTTCTACTTTAAGTGACTCCAAGAAACTGATACTTGTAATGATTTTTCTGATTATTTTCGCTAAATTTTTTAGCGGTGTGTTGAGTACGAGTGGACAAAAGCATCATTGACCATCATAGGTTTCTTCCGATTTACAACAATCATAGTTGATATAGAGTTTCTTAACTCCCTTGTGAAGTTTTTTTAGAATTCCAAACTAGCTGACTTCAGTAATCCACAAAACAACGCCACAATAAATGGGCTGGTTTTACAAATATTGTCAACATAACAGTAGATCAACTAGAGAGACATTTATACCTTCAGTAGTGTTCAATCATTAGTGTCTTTAGGTGGTGAGAAGTTTCGCTATTATAACAGAATTTACATCAAGCACAAAAAAATTTGTAAACAAGGAATGGTTTAAAATCTACAATATCTTCTTATTTTCTTATCTTTAACCGACTTACAATTTCTCTTAATAATTGTCTGTAATCTTCGCATCGTTAGCTCAGATATTTTACCAATATAAGTGAGTTTAAAAAAGCAAGAGCTTGTTAGGTCTTTAGATGGTAATGGAACATTATAATTACCTTTATTTAAGTAGGAATTGTGGATTTTTGTAATATCTAAAATGAGTATTATATACTTGAGAATATTAAAAAGGTTGTTGATATATATATTAGGGTACGTCACTTAAAACAAAAATGAGCAAAGAAACTTCAAGCATCAATTATATAGTGCCAAATTTATATAACAAATTGAAATTCATAAAAAAAAATTTAATTTTTTTTTAATCTACCGGGGAACTGGTTTTTTTGTCATTGTAAAATTGGTATATCAGACTGTAAAATTTCCGAATTAAAAAAAATTTATATCTCAGTAAATTTCAGTCCAATTTTAATGTTATTTGTGTCTATAACACATGAAAAAAACTGGGTAAATAATTAGCCTCAAAAAACCAAGATTAAACTAGGGCCGACGACGGCTGGGAGCCCAAGGGGCTGTTCCCAGACTTTTTTTTACTTTTTTAAAAATTTCAAGTAATATTAAGAAATAATATAACAGTTCGAGAAAAATAAATAAAAATTTCAACCTACTAGGAAACTTGTTATCTATCTTAAAAATAAATAAATTTTAGTCCAATTTTAATGTTATTTTTGTCTAAGCAAATATATAAAAGAAAAAAAAATGGCATTAAGATTAACTATTTCTTTGGCAAAGTTACATATTCATGTTAAAACATATATTTACGGTATATATAATTAAATTTAAGTGTCTTTTAAAAAATTGTTTCTTAAATCTTTTTAGCATGCACCTTAGGCATTAATTGTCTATAACCCAGGATGGTCCTGACAAATCCATGTCTTCTCTCAAATCCAGAAACAGGTGCAGGTGCATCTTTCACCTCTTTTACCACTCTTTCACAAGACTGTGTGTGTGTAGGGGAAAGTAAGGTGCTTCAAAAGGTGTCTCTAAGATATTGTCAAGATCTTTTGTAGCTATTTGAAAAGTAAACACAGGTTCTGATTTATCTTCTTTGTCCCAGTGGATCAATTTTTGTATGGATATAGCTCCCAGATTGAGTTGAACCTTCTTCCTTGGCCTGAATTGAGTATCTCCATACTCCGAAACATTCCGTATCTTTTTGATGGTTTTAATGGTAAACCTCCTCAATTTCTTAACTAAGCTTGCTATAAAGGGGAGTATCAAAGAATCAGAATGAGTAAAATAAGCTCTATTTTTTATGTATAATAACAGATAAGAGTAGCAAATTTTTTTAATCTCATCCTCGTGTTTTCTCAGCAGTCTTAAAAGTGATACTATGTGTTCCAGGGTCTCAACAATACTTACATAATAAGCATTGTTGAGGTGAGTAATATGGCTCACTACTATATAATAAATATATAGTAGTAAGCCAAGAAGAAAGATTGCCACACTTAACTATTTTAAGATTTGAGTAGTCAAACATATAATCAGTTTATAGCAGAGAGATGAATCTGTTGAAATGGAACTTAGAATTTTTTCAGGGATTTGGATTAATGATTTCAACTGCACAATAGGTTCAAATGTACCAAGTCTTTCCATACTGTTTACTTTTGAAAGAGCTTTTCCAATTGGTTCAGTGAAACCAAATTTTGAAAACCTCAACCTTTCCCTGAACTAGTTAAAGCGTTTGTTGAATCTCCTCCTATTACTTCTAGAGACTAATGTACTCCCCGAGGAACATCCAATTAAATAGTCTAATGCCTGGTTGTTTAGCAGGCTTATTGGAAGGTATTGCCTTCATGGGTGTAAAATGTGTAATATAGTGACCGTCAGGTTCTGAAGTAACACTAATGTGTTCTTCTTTCACAACCCTTTGATGAAATCGTTTAGTTTCAGGGTTGTGCTTTAAAACTCTGGTTAAATCTTTTCTGCCATCAGCAAATATACCTTTGATAGATTGTACTTAAATCTTTATTTCTTCAGATGTCTTTGTTTTAGTCATTACCGCATTCCTAGCCCTATTAAATTTCTTAGAATCTACAGCCAAATAGGACATTTCAGGTGTTAAAAATTTACCCAGAATAAGGTCTCAATAAAAGGCTGAAAATACTGCTGGTATTGCAGCTGGCGAAATATCAAATCTCAAAGAAGCTTCAGCAGTATCACTAATAGATACAAAGTTTAGTTTCCATTTATCAGTTGAAGCAGGTTCATCTTCCGTTTCAATTCTATTTGAATTATCATCATTTATGAAAGACTCAACAAGATCTTTATTCTTTGAAGTTTCTTCCTCTTCTTTTTTTCTAATTTTTTTTTTCTAGACTTGACTAAAGTTTTTTCTTCCTTATTTCTAAAGAAACCTGTCTAGCTGTTTCCTTAATATCTTTACAAATCATTTGATGTTTGATAGTGACCCAGTTTTTTCTTTTTCAGCTTCTAACCGAATAAGTTCACTTTTTGTAATTTTTTTCCCCCTTTTTCCTAATTTTTTTCCCCCCATTTTACAGGTAGAAACAATTTTTTTGGCTGCTTTTCCTCTAGAAATATCACTAAACTTATTCTAGGCTAATTCTGTTTTCTGTAACAAAGATGTCTTGTTTGTTACCGCAGCAAACTTGAAAATAGCGTTCAATCTTGTCCACTGTTGAAGAACCATGTCTGCTAACTGTAAATTAAGTTCTCTTACAGAAATCAGCCTCCTTAAAAATAAAAAAAATAAAAAAAGGTTTAGCTTAGGGAATACAAGTAAATATAAACAATTTTTCTGCAATCTTTAAATGTGACTTTTCATTACATACTTGACAATATCTTTTTTAATGAGCAAACATTCTTATGTTAAAAGACCCTTCCTCAGGATATCTCTAATAGTATTTCTGAAAGATTAGGATCATTACTTCCTCCAAAATACAGTGAAAACTTTGATTCTTTTTTTTATACAAATTGAATATAGTAATTTTAGGAGCACTCATTTTTCCTGTTAATGTTAAATAAATACTAGCTATTAACAAAACTGGAATTGGACCAAACCGGAAGTAAAGTACTTTGTGCTGCGTATTAATGTATGAGGTACATGAAGGCACCATACGGTAATAAATTATTTCCAGTTTTATTGATTGCTAGTATGAATAAATGAAAACATATGTTTAAATACAAAAATATTTCAGGGTACGATGTATTGATGTATTGTATTCTTTCCAGAGTACATACCGAAGAGTACATTAGTACAGAAGTGTGCATTATGTACATTGTGCTAATGTAATAAATGTAGACAATAATGTACACTTTTGTACTATGCAATAAAAGTAGAAATAACTATTTAAAAATAATCTACAACTTTTCAGAACTTTGCATTTCTAAATATGCAGGGCCGACAATGCGGTTTTCAAAATTAGGGGGAGCACAATCATCAACTACTAAAATAAGATCCTTCATATCTGAAAACATCAAAACCTTTATTGAAAAAAAAAGTTCTTTATAGAAAAAGTTAGGGGAAGAGAGGGAGGAGGGAGTGCCAGTTGACCCTTGATCCTCTGGCCTCACCAGTAATGACACAATCTCAATTTGTCAACGCTAACCATGTTACCATTTATTTATTATTTGTTAAACACAAAAAACATCGTAACTGAACTAAACTCACTGAGATATGACATTTTTAAGTTTATTTATTTATTATATATATTGGCACTATAATACTGGCATATATATTGGCACTATAATATTGATGCTAGAAGTTTCTTTGCTCTTTTTTTTTGTGACGTACCCTAATATATATATATATATATATATATATATATATATATATATATATATATATATATATATATATATATATATATATATATATATATATATATATATATATATGTATATGTATATATATATATCTATATATATATATATATATGTATATATATATATCTATATATATATATATATATATATATATATATATATATATATATATATATATATATATATATATATATATATATATATATATATATATATATATATGTATAGGTATATATATATATATATATATATATATATATATATATATATATATATATATATATATATATATATATATATATATATATATATATATGTATATATATATATATATATATATATGTATAAATATAAATATATGTATATATATATATATATATATATATATATATATATATATATATATATATAATATAGTAAATGCCTTAAATAGATTTCAAATGGTTTTAAATGGCTAAACAGAATGACTAATAAGAAGCTTTGCCAAATAGATTAAAACAAATTCTGTGTAAAACGTTTCTTGCAAGTAATTATATTTTCAATAAGTAAAAGTTAATTATTGCAATAATTATTTTGAAATATTGTATATATCAGAATTTTAATGTTAAATATATCATTATAAATATTTTATGTTTATATCAAATTGTAATAATGATGATCATTATCACGATCATGAACCTAATGATGATGACTTAAAAAGCAAAATTGCAATAATGACCAGATATTGTTTTGTTTTATTTAGATTTGTCAATGTCGTCTGATAAACTAAAGAAATTTTATCTTGAATTTTATTGTAAAATTGGTGAACTTCAACCGCTATTAAAAGCATCTGCAAATGTTGATCTAATACAAAAGTTTGTTGATTTATGTATTGTTGATGCAGTAAATGCTCAAATGGATGCAGTTTTCAGTGGTGAACGAAAGATATTTCTTGAAAAGCAAATGCGTTATACACCAATTCAATATAGTGAAATATTTACAAAAGCGAAATCAGTAATGTTACTATCTGGAATAGCTGGTATTGGGAAAACATGGTTGCTTAGAAAATGTTTGCTTGATTGGTCAAATGGTTTAATTTGGAAAAATGTTGAACTCGTTTTTTATTTGGAATGCAGGAGACTTAATCAATATCCAAATATTTCTAATATTAATGAGTTACTAAACAATTTTTACAAAGATATTGTAAACAACATTAACATTAATAGTCATACTGCACTGTTTATAATTGATGGATTAGATGAGTTTAAATATTTTAATGAGTTATTAAATCCAAGTTTGACTTGTAACTATCCAATTGTTAATGTTTTAGCAGAAATTCAAAAATACAAACATATAATTGCTGGTAGAGTTTATGCAATAGGTCAATACCAAAGTATTTTAGCAGAATATAGTGATAAGTTAACTATTCAAATAATGGGGTTTAATGAAAATGGAATAAATAATTATGTAGAAAATCATGTGTTAGCAGAAAAAAAAGAAGTTGTAAAAACGATTTTAAAAGAGTCTCCAATAGCAAAAGCCATGGCATCAGTTCCTTTTTATTTATCTTTGATGTGTAAAATTATAAGTGATCCAAAAACAATTGATTCTAATTCTTTCTTAACAATGACAGATTTGTATGCAAGCATTTTTTTATACTTTATGCGAAAACACATCATTAAAAACAATAAGTTGGTATATGAGATAATGGAAGACAGTTCCAATAAAATATTTATTTTCAATATTTGTAAAATTGCATATCAAATGTATGTTAACAATAAAATAATTTTTTCCAAAGAAGAAATTCAAGTGTTTATAAGTGACTTTGATAAAAACGAAGGTAAGTTTTTTGGATTTATTGAAAAGTTTGAAACAGATCTTGGTAGTTATTATCAGTTCGCACATTTGACCATAATGGAGTTTTGTGCATCCGTATATGCATATAATTATTTAAGTAGTGATGAGATTATGGACAATAAGAGGCTGAAGAGTTGTTTATCAATGATTTGTGGATTAGCCAATAAAAACCAAAATAGTCTATTAAAGTTTCTTGTTTATCTGAATCCTTCAAAAAAGTCCTATGAAGAATCAATTTTATATTCTATATTGGGTAAGTTTTAATAGTTTGTTGCATTATTGTGAGCCTATTTTAGTTAATCATTCAGATGATCAATAAGATATAAAACTAAAGAAAATTTTACTTACATTTTTATTTATATAAGGTCACGGTTGTTTACAAGCATTATATTTACGTGCCCATGTGCCAGAAGTTTTTAGAAATTTCAGAGAATTTAAAATGGCTGCGGTTATTAGCGACATAAACTTTTTCATATATTAACTGTTACTTTTAGTTTATTATTGTAAAAATTGATGTTGCAACCATATTACTGATCTAACTCAATAAATAAATGCCTTTTTTGTATTAGTAAACAAATAAATACGCTAAAATACTATTTTTTAATGTTTTAGTTTGAATTTTAGCTTTTATTTGCGACATTATGTGATTTTTTTTTTTTAAACAAACTTTGAGAATTTCTAATTGTAGAAATTTAAAAAAATTTTTTTCGATATTATCATTATTAATTTCTTTATACTTGACTATTTTTTGGTTATTGCTTAAATTTAATTTTTTTGTAAAAATGTATTTTAACTTTGTTCTGGTGCAATTTAATCAACTGTGTTATAATATTAGGGATATAAAAATGTAATAAAGTTAAAACGAGTCTTATAGTCATTTTAACTTATAATAACTTTTAGCACATGTAAAGTACTGCTTACTTACATTGCATTTATTTAATTTATATTGCATGTATTTGAAAACATGCAGTTGCTAAAAAGAATTTGAAATATTATATATATATATATATATATATATATATATATATATATATATATATATATATATATATATATATATTTATATATATACATAACTAAAATTTATTCAATGTAACTTGGTTGTTTTACATATACTAAATCTAAAAGACCTCTATTTTTATATTTACTTTTTTTTAGAAGACTATAAATGTGGTATTATTAGTTGTTCCAATATTTTAACCTTATATTATTGGAAAATATATGAACAACTATTATGTCGACAATTATAGTTTAGTAAACAATACTTAAATAAGGTTTGGTTTTACTAGTTTAGGTACCAAATTGCATTAGTAGCTGGTAATGAACAGTTAGACACTGCTTATTGATATTTATTAGTATATATGATTTTATATTTAAGTTAGTTTGTGTTTTTATAACATATACTGTTCAAGGTTCTTAATTTTTTGAATTTACTTAAATTTATCTATTTTAACTTTAATGGCATTAGTGAGTGTTAGTTTTTTATAGCTAGTTTTGTTAGTACTATTTTATATTCTTCTTTCATTAAGATTTGTAAAGTAGACTTTTTTCAGTTTTCATTGTCTAAGAGGTGCCCTTTTTTAGTATTAATTTTTTTGATGTAGTTTGACAATTAATGAAAACGGTGAAGGAAGTTCATTCCCAAATTTGCATGATTCAAATTTATTAATTTGTTTAAATATTTTTTTCTAGATGAATCTAGCCAAAACAATTTTATAAAATGATTTTATAAAACACTTCAACAAAACAATTTGGTCATTAAAAGCACAGTATCATGTTCTTACGTGACAGAAGCTGAAACTAGATTTTACATATTTTTAAAGTTTAAAAACTTTAAGATTTAAAAACTATGATTGTATAATGTAGGTACACTGTATGTATAATTGATATATGCTAATAATCTACAGATTGATTATATTGATGAATTTCAGAAATCCAATTGATAATTAAATCAAAAATTCAATCAGTATGATACAACTTTTTAAATTATGTAATAGAGAGAAAGAAATAAATAAAATTAATCTATGATTTTGTTGTTGTTATTGTTGAAAACATAAATAATAAATTTTATATAAACTTATTTCCCTCCCATGGGACACAAAGCTCCACAATCTAGCAAACCTGGCCTTTGAGCCAATGTACAGTTTTAAACATGTTTACTTTAAATTTTAATAGTGTATATTATAAGAGATTTTCATAATGTATATTATAATATATTAAAATTGTACTATTAAACATTTTTAGCTCTTTAATTAAACTATTATTATTATACAAATGATGAGTTTAACTTATCTTCATGTCTTTTTTCACGCCCTTTTAGACTACCTGTCTTAAATACAGAAAAATTTTGAATTAACAAAAACTTTTAATCTTGTTTGTTTTTAATGTTTTAAAATTATACCTGGGGTATTGATTTTGTAGTTATAAGGCTGTTCAAGTAATGTGACACTTTTTTTCTCTTTTTAGATTTTTCCTTCCCCCATAAGACATTTTCTAATAATTTATTAACCCCCCCTCCCCCATGTTACTTCACAAAATGAGTTTTTGCTAAAAGTTTATTAATTAATAAAAATTAAAATTAAATAAAAATTCAATTTCAATTTTTATCACAACGGATTTATATCACACAAAAAAATAGACTTGACTAACCCCGAAAGTTGAGGCCGTTGCAGTTAGGAGTCGTCCATAAAGTACGTTTGCTTCTTTTTTCGACCTCCCCACCCGCATTTTGCCATACGCTTTTTTGAGTACCCTATACCTCCCTAAAAGTACCTACGCTTTTACCCTTCCAACCCAACATTTTATGGTATTTTTTTTATTTAGTGTCTCTATACTTTTATAATTGACCTATCATATTTGCTATTTGCAGATCCCCTCTTGCTCTCTGAGCGTACATACTTTATGGACGATCCCTTGCCTATTTTTTAAGTGCTACGAAATAAAAAATTTAAGTTGCTTAAAATAATAATGTTTTCAATTTCAAAGTTCTTTCCCCAGGGTTGTCAATAACTGGTGTAAGATTGACAACCTTAAAATTAAAGGCACATGATTCATTTAAAAATCAATAAATCAGAAGCAATAAGTTTAATGACTATCAGGAACCTACTCATCAGATCAAGAAAATTAATTATATACTGATCAATTCTTTAAAATATTAAGAAATAAGGCCAAGATAAATATAATTATTTAATAAACAGGGGTGGGTAAGGAGAAAAAAAGTATTATCTGTTAGCATGATATAATATACTGATATAGTATACAGTGCTGGAGTAAATGGGGCTAGAGACCCCGCACATGAAATTAACCTCAAAAAAATAGCCTTGGGCCACAAAAGTTCATAACCTGCTACTGCTATACAGTGTTGATGATAATAGTAATTATTGTTATTAAATATCAATTATAGAACAACAAATGTAACCAACAAAGAAAAAATTGTTTTTGGTAATTTTTATATATTTTGTAGTATTTTGCTTTTCTGTTTTTTTATTTTTTGTCTAATTATTTAATCTCTTACATATACATTTTTACATTATTTAGACTTTCTTTTTTAATAATTTATAGTAGCAATATATTCTTTTTCTTATGGTTGATTTGAGCTTTCTGTTTATAGGGTTAGTTTTTGATGGTGTGATTTAAGAATTCTTTTTAAGACCTTTTTCTTTAAACTCGTAATGAACGGATTAGCCTCCTTGTTCGTAGTATCCAAATCCAGCACCCCATTTATTTAAAAATGGAACAGCATGATCTTCCAACATCTGTAACTTTGATAACACTGAATTATATAACCAGTTAGCACAATAAAACTGTATTAAATCAGCAATATATTTTTCTTAAGATAAATATACAGTAATAGTAAAAAGCATATCTCTTTTATCTAATATAAATTTTATTTCTCAAACATACTACAAACACTTTAATATGTATACTTCTATAATACCCTATAAACTACTTATCAACCAATAATTATTTAATCTAAAAACAAGACATTTAAAATAATATACTTTCAAGAATAACATTTTAAGTCTAATATCCTTTACTTTCTATCCAAAATGATCAAATTGCATGCTCTTGCACATCTATTAAATTGTCTATTTGTCTGGAATCACGCACAAGTTGCCCTACCTCTCTCAATCTGTTATTTCTTTACCGCTATAAAAAGTTCTTGTTATTATCTTCCATCTTTTAGTAGCCTTAAATTATATATCCTAGGTCATTGTTTAGTTTAGTACGGCAATAAATCTTGAACCAATGCATAAAATCATGGAATAATTTACCTCTTTACTTTAAATCACTAAACTCTATTACTAAAACCAGTCTTCATACCTTTTTTTGGAGAGATACTGTTTGTAAAATATTGAGCTCATTGTGGGTTATTATGATTATTACTTTTGGTGTTATTTTATGTAATATAAATATTATTATAACATTGTTTTACTATTATTCATATCATAACTGCTTAATGTTATGGTTTTATGTTTAGTTTTAATATTTATCAAAATTATTATTACTGTTATTATTGTTATTATTATTATTATTATTATTATTATATGGATTATATTTATTATTATAAATATAATGTTAACATCGCTAATATTGTTATTGTCTTCCTTATAATTGTTTTAATGTTATTACTATTATTATACAATTTATTTTTACTTTAGATTAGTACTAGTACTATTTCTAAATATCCATGAAGTGTAATTACCTTTTATCAAAATATATATCATTATGGTTTAATATATATTGTTATATATATATATATATATATATATATATATATATATATATATATATATATATATATATATATATTTATATGTATATATATATATATATATATATATATATATATATCCTTGCAAGCACTTGTATGTACACACACATATGACATATGTGTGTATGTTTTTTTTAGCAATTGCAAGTTTCCAAATACATGCAATGTAAAGTAAGTAAAAAAAACAATGCTTTTCAATTAGCTAAATTAATTTCAATAAATAGTTTTATTTTTATCTTTATTTTTATAACACAATTGTTTAAAATGCACCAGAACAAAGTTATAAGAAAAAGATCTCAGCTCTTAACTACTCAAACGATAAAAATACATTTTTCTACCAAAATTAAATTTAAGCAAGAACCAAAAAGTAATCAACTACAAAGTAAAGAACATTAAAGAAGTTGAAGAAAAAATTTTCAAATTCGTACAGTTAGAAATTCTGAAAATTTATTTAAAAAAAAATAAACATATCGCTCTCC